TATTAAAAAAAAGAAAAAAGTTAAAAAAAAAGAGCTCTGGAATGAAACTGTGTGGATTTAGATCCAGACTTCAGCATTTCTTGTATGTCCTTGGGCAAGATGTTTAATCTCTCTAAGTCTTATTGCTTCATGTATTAAGTAGGGACAGAATTAATAGCCATCCCATAAAAGTGTGATGAGAAATAAATGAAATACTCCATTTAGGTTGCTTAGCCCAGTACCTGACACATAAGAACTGCTCGATAAATTTAGACATTATTTCTCTTGGCAAAAGTTTGGAATATATAGAACGAGAAGAGAAAAGATACAAATTTGGGGAATTAATAGGATCAAAGGAAGACTTCTCTTGAGTGACAAAATCTTGTAAAGAAAGAAAAAAGAATCACAGATTGAGTCACAGCGCAGGTCACCTTGTTATATACACGGCACAGCTCAAGCAGAGTTTTTCGGTCCCTTTCTTACAACGCCATGGTTGGCGGGTAACTCCAACGTTCCCAAATGCTGTAGTTTGGTAAGCATGCACAGGACTAAGCACAGATTCCTACCACATGCCCTGGGACAGCCTCTCCAATTGCCATTGATTCGACACAATCTTTTTAGAATCTCAGGATAGGAAGGCATCTGAAAGCCATCAGGTCCAGGGACACCTGAACTTCTCCAGCATCTCCAGCAGGAGGGTGCACATAAACTGTATTCAAACAGCCTCCCATTTGGTATCTTTCAAGCCAGATCTTTCTTTCTCAGGTTAGATTCTTCACAGACATTCTTCCACAGATTCACCATAGGCCTTGAAATTGCCACTTTCAATCACTCCTTGGGTTATGGATTCTTTTAAACCAGAATATGTAATCTGGGAATGGAAACACTGGTAATGACTTATCCATAGGGTCCTTTGGTAGTCACAGAGGACAGCCACAGGTTAGGCAGATTCTACTATGGAGTGGGAAGGAGTGGAGCACAGGGAAAGTTAAAGGGCCTAAGATGCTGCTAAAAGGGTCTGGCCTAGAGACTTACAACCTGAAAGCACAGGTTGAGAGGAAGGGGATTATTAGTCATATTCATCCTCTTCACACCATTGGTCTGTTCTGGTCCTCTGCAGGTATTGAGGTGAGCCAGTGTACCATCTAAAGAGGGGCCAGGCCCTGGCAGGGTAGCTCAGTTGGTTAGAGCATTGTTCTGATCCACCAAGGTTGGGGATTTGATCTCCAGTCAGGGCACACACAAGAATCAACCAATGAATGCATAAATCAGTGGAACAATAATTCAATGTTTCTCTCTCCCTCTCTCTATAAAATAAGTAAGTTTTTAAAAAATTAAAGAGGAGCCAGGGCCTAGCATTCACTCACCACCATTATGTAAGGGAAGACATTCAATTATTGGGAATGAGATCATCTGTTTAACCCATTTCAATGAAAGCAGCCAGAGGTTCATGGATCTGGTCTGAGAGGATAGCAAAAGGTGTTCTCAGTCTACCTGGAAAGGACTCCAGCTCCAGCCCCACAACCCTACCACAGCTTAGACAGAGGCCAGCCCAGCTCCGTTCAGCCCAGCCCAGTACTCTCTGAGTTTGCCCCCTCTGAACTTTGTAAAATACTTTACCTGTGAGAACACAGGGAACTGGATTAGGGGACTCTGGGGGGGGGGGATGCTTCTCGTTTCCAAATTCCATGGTGTAGAAGCTCAGCTACAAGATCTTTCTAGACTTGAGAGGTCATGGTCAGAGATAGACAGGAAGGGAGACAGCCCAGAACATCAACTTGGGACAGACTTGGGGCCCATCTATTTGGAGGGAAAGTCTAAGGAGCGTGTCCCTGGCAAGCAACTGTTTTTCCTCAATTGCCTAAGCACTGGGAGAGTAACGGGAGGTTACCAAGATTTGGGGGGACCTAAGGTTCCCCACAAGTAAACTTTTGTGCCATTTCTGGAGATAGTTCCTGGTTTATGGCGTAGTAACTCTTCCAGCTCTGCACTCTTGGCAATCTCCATATCTTTGTTCAGCTCTAAGAAATGAAAAGGCTTGGTGGTGTTTGACCATCGGAAGGTACTCTTCATTACTGTATGCATTAATTTTCTCTTATGCCTTAGTATATATTGTGAGTTGGTAGAGATTTGGCCAAGAGAAGCATAAAAGAAAGACTAGACAATTTTGAAGGCAATAATAGTTTTTTAAAATCTTTTTTATAATTCAATAATGAAATTATTACTGCTAATGGAAAATGCATTGGTTTCTTCTGGCCATAAACACTTTACCAATTATGACAATAACATTAGTAGTAATACTAAACACTGTATATCTATTAATAGCAGTTTTCATTTTCACACTGCTTTACTGAAAACTAATTAATCAAACAAACCTATTTTAATTGGTTGCCATGGTAGTAAATAGAGATTAACAGAATGGTTGCATCCATTAAATTTGTTCTTAGCTCCTGAAACATAATTCAGTTTGGGCAATAAGTCATCATTGTGTGGTACTATAATGTATTTAGAATAATAGTTACTGTGTTAGTAATGAAAAGATTTATAAGTATACACAAATATATGCATGCAATGACAAATATTTATGTAACTTTAATGTTTGTTACCCATAAAACATTCTCCTTTACTGAATCTGATATGTATGAAAATTTCATCAGTAATTATTACTCTGTATCTTACCTATCTATTGTGTTTGTCCCTGGGCACCCCACCCAAGAAGTGGGTCATCTGAATGAGAGAGGTTTCTAAAACTTTCCACTGACTGAACAGTGAGGAGAGGAGTTGTGGGGGAAGGGCTCGGGGATGACATAGTCACCGTCTTCAAGTGTCCGCAGGGTTTTTGGAGTGGAGGAGGAGTGGGAGTGGTGTGTTCTCTGGGGTCCAGACCAGGGTGAAAGGAGGAGGAAGCCACAGGGAGGAGGCAAGTGTGGTCTGAGGCCTTATGACATAGAGGTTGTGGGACTGCTCTGCAGTCAAACAGCTGGGCCCGAGCCCAGCCTCTGTCCCTTCTGTAGGTTGGGCTCCCTGCTCTGGCCTGTTCCATCCCCGGTGGGGATGACCAAACGAAGGCACTGAGAAAGCACACAGGCCTCCGCCTGGTACATAGGAAATAGTGCATGACTATTAGTTCTCTATTAGTGGAGGATTTTCCTTAAAAAGGTTGTTAAAAATGGATTGGGCTGTTTTGTGAGGCAATGACTCACAGCTCTGTCACTGGAAGTAATGAAGCAGAAACTGGACGGTCACCTATGAAAAATATTGTATAAGGGCTTCCTGCTCTGATGGTGTGGTTGAAATAGATGATTTCCAGGTATATATGATTCCATCATTTTTTTTTTGGTGGTGGAGAGGAGGAAGGACTTCTATTATCATCCTTCAGCTGTTTCAACACTGGAGTCTTGCTATTAAGGTGACATTTGGGGGGGCCTATATTTATGACTTAGTATTATTGGTTAAATGTTATCATATGGAGCAAACTTTCTCTTTGAGACTTTTGCCCTGAACTAACCTTACCAGGGGGGAAACATCCACTGATTTTGACTGTCCAGTGTCTGCAAGGTTTTCCTCTAAGATCACTTAGATCCTTTACAAATAGAGGTTTTTTCCAACTGGTTTCCCTAAGTCTGTGGCTCACTGTGTTCTAAAATTACAAATTATTCCGTTAATATCCTGAATGTTTTCTGTTTATCATCACACTTTCCTAAATATTGACATCTGTCTTTACCTTGTCACTTAACTTCTCTGTCAGTGAGCAATGAACAAATCCAGGATTTAAATAACGTGGACTTCTTTCTCATGAGAAAAATAAACGTTTGTCTCATTTTTGTTTCTTTCCCCTGCCAGCACTGTATAGGGTGATAGCTCTGGCCCGGTTGTACAGTGTATGCACAGAGCTGCTGAAATCCACACACTGACAGGTCAGGTTCACCCCAACTGCTCAGGAGACAGCTGCTCCTGGGAGGGTGGCTGTCACTAGGGATGGTGGCTATCACTATGACAATAGGCTGAGAATAACAGGGAGCTGACTAAGAACCTTGAAGGAGGCTGAGAGGGAGCCCAGGGAAAAGGAAATGAGAAAATGAATCCCAGGGAGGTAACCAAGGTGAAGGTAAAGGGCTGGATGTAAACAGTACAAAGCGAGGAAGGAAACTGAAGTCGAGGAAGAGCACTAAGTGGAGAAAAAAAGAAGGGAGGTTTGCAGTCTGTCCTTATTTTACTTTTAAGACTTACATGGATAGTGATGCTTTAACTGCAATAGAAATGTATTTCTTTGGAGAGAATAAAAATTAAAGTGTTCAGAACAAAACAGGCAGTACAAGAGAAAAAAAATGTCCTTTTGCAGATAGCCAGTCTAAAATCAATGATTTACTAGAAACACCATAACAGCAAAGGCAGTATAAACTAGTATGGCTGGTATGGGCACTTTCCATGGTAAACCACAAACGAAAAAAAAGGAAAGGAGAGAACAATCTCATACCCAAAAGTAGGAAGATTGTGTATCTCTAACTATTAAATAATTCTTAAAGTCACATGAAATATCTTTTTTGGGGGACCAAAATAGATTTAAAGATATGCAACTGTTGTTTTCTTTTGTGTGTGTATGTGACATCTGTGTGACCTTTTTACCAAATGACAGATTTTAGAGCATTAAGTAGCCCTCCATCTCAGTGTTAACAGTTTCTGACGTTCTTTAGAAAATTTGGGCATATTCAACTTACATTCACAACAAAAGGAGAGGCAAGTTTTATACTCTGACATTAATGTTGAGTATCCATCAACTACGAATTATTAATACTTCCATGGAAAATTTTTTATCTGAAAAAAATCAGTATGAGATCAGTATAGCTTACATTAGAAAATTAAGTTGTTTTCAATTTTGTTTCTAAATATTATATTTAACATATACACAAAAGGGATAGATAAACCACAGCTCACTTATAATTGTGTGTGTGTGTATGTGTTTGGGGCCAGTCTGAGAGGATTAAATGTTGATTTTTAAAAAATAAAAATTGCTCCACAAATCTTAATGCCTTTCATAAAAGGTAAAAACATTTTTATTTGTAACTCATTTCACCAATGAAGACAGTGATTCAAGTAAAATGAGCAGATAGATGTTTGTTTCGGGTTGGTATCCACTGTTGGGCCCTCCCCTCCAGGTACCCAGCGGCCCGAGCATCCATTGCCTGGTCGTGCTGAGTGGCAGGAGCGGCTCCTCTAGGAAGGCGATCACTTCTCCAAAATAAAGCAGGTCAAGGGATGTGTCCAGTTAGAACCCTCTTGAAGTAAAATGTTACGATGACTCTACTCAATTATCTTGCAGCCTGTGCCAAGCATCTACAGAAGAGTTTTCTCATCTGCAAAAGAAAGAGATTGAATTAGATCATATCTAACATCCCTTTGAGTTCTGTCTACAAAGCTAAATCTTTTGCTTATAGTTCGATTTTTCCACTCCTATTTAGGTAACAGACAGAAACAAATCTATCATCAGAATGTCACCTCTTTTCCTCACAAGTGGCACCCACATACTATGATGTAGATAATATACTTGTTATAAAGGTACAAACCTTTATCCTAAATCTCCTTATTGGAAAGCTTCGTAGTCCATTTGTTGGGGAGTGTGGGGGAAAACCTTCATCTACATATGTGTTTAGTCGTTTTTCAGATTGTTCTTGACTGCATTGTGTCAAAAAACAAGGGTCAATTAAGCAGAGTAGATAAAAGCGTGACTTTAAATTTGTTATATTACTATTCTGTTCCCTGCTGTGATTCCTCCTCAAAAAGTGGTGTGGCAAATGTGACTAAACTGCTAATGATAATAAGAATACATGATTCACATATTTTTGAACACCAGAATTGCCTTACACTTTCAAAATAGTGTTCTTAGCATTAGTACTTGATTGTCTGCAGTTTGTGATAGGTATTAGTCAATGACGTAATGTTCTTGCTCTAATAGAAAAACAGGTAAATGTCAGTAAATTAACACAATACAAGTTTATTTTTCACTTGCTTCACAGAATGTTTGTTGGTGAATGTTCTGCACACTCTGGACACTGGCAATTCTCCAGGAACAGAAAAGAGAACATGAAGGATCTCTTGGGGGTTTTAGGTGCCAGGCCTTGAAGTGGCATACACTATTTCTAGTGACGTTCCATTGACCAGAACTGGAAACACGTCCCACGTAGATACAACTGATCTAGGAGATGCAGTCCTCCCAATGTGCCCCGGAGGAAATTGGAATGGCGTGGTGAACACATAGGATTGTTTATGCTACAGTATCCACAGCAGTGAGTGAAGACAAGGGACCTGAAGGGGAAAGCAGCTTATCCAATACACTTTCCACACCCAAAATTAGAGTGAACCTTGGAGGCTGTGACAGTTATCATGCTGAGTTTCTTCTCCTGAGGGTGATTTGGGAATGAAAGAGCAGTGGAAGGTTGGAAACTAAGTTGAGTTCTGGTAGCTCAGTTGGTTAGAGTGTCATCCTGAGACACCAAGGTCGTGGGTTCAATACCTGATCAGGTCACATACAAGAGTCAGCTAATGAATGTATAGCAAGTGGAACCACAAACCAATGTCTCTCTCTCTCTCTCTCTCTCTCTCAAATCACTAAATAAATTGTTAAAAACGAATTGTTTCAAGTAAGTTGAAATGGGGGTGGAGAGGATGCATGCCGAGGAGGGAGAAAGTGCATCAGTTTGCAGTATGTGCATGAGCGTGCGCGCATGCGTGTGTGTGCGTGTGTGTGTGTGTGTGTGTGTGTGTGTGTGTGTGTGTGTTGGGGGATAGTTACAGAATCTAGGGACATTCTCTGTCAGCGACTTCACATTTTTGTTTGGATGCCTATCTCCTACCTTTCTACAGTTTACAACTTGCTTATAATCTACCCTGTTTCCTTTGCCACTGGTTTAAGCTTAAACTCTTTCTAAACTGCAACTTTAAGAAGCTAGAAAAATAAAAGCAAATTAAATCTATAGTAGAAAGAAGGATGGAAACAATAAAGACAGAAATCAATACAACAGGAAGTAGAAACAATTACAGATAAATAAATAAATACCAAATAAATTCTGATACTATCTGCCTGGAGGTAGCATCAGATTCCACAGGTTAAGGCAGGGGCATCAAACTCATTTTCACCGGGGTCCACATCAACCTTGAGGTTGCCTTCAAAGGGCAGAAATAATTTTAGGACTGCATAACTATCACCACTTCTTGTCTGCTAAGGAGTTGAAATTACATTTGGTCCTTTGAAGGCAACCTCGAGGCTGATGTGGCCCCCTGCCCCTGCCCCCGTGAAAATGAGTTTGACACCCCCTGGTTAAAGACTCAGTCCTTGAGGGATTAAGGGCAAGATCGCCCCAGCCCCAACCCACCCACTTCTGAAATCACAAGTCCAGGTTGTCACCTAGGCTTCAACTGACAGGTCATATAATTTTGTCATTTCTACAACCCCCTCGTCATGTTCAATTAGTTTGTAAGAGCAGTTCATGGAACTCAAAGAACTTACTGGATTTTGGTTTTATTATAAAAGGATTAACTCAGGGACAGCTGGATGGAAGAGATGCTCAGGGTGGGGCGAGAACCTTCCACGCCCTCTCTAGGGGTGCCAGTCTCCCTGAATCTTCCCTGTTCCCAGCCCGGAAGCTCTCTGGACCCTGTTGTTTAGGGTTTTATGGAGGTGTCATTACACAGGGACAACTGATTGGACCTTTGGCCTCAGCCCCTCTGCCCTTCCTGGAGGTCCTGGGGATGAGACCCAGAGTTCCAACCCTTTCCTGGCAACTAACCTGCATCTTCAGGTGCTGTCTGAAGTCACCTCATGAACATAACAAAAGACAATTTTATGCTCTCATCTTTCAGGAAATTTCAAGGGTTTAAGAGCTCTGTGTCAGAAATGGGGACAAAAACCAAATATGTATTTCTTACTATAAATCACAATATTATAACACTTAACTCTGGTGAGTTTAGCAGCATGTAAATCTGATTTAGAAGGAAAAGGAAATCCTCTTCTCCAGGGTCCTTAGAAAGTGGAAATACATGAATCAATAGACCAAAATACCTCTGTTCACAGAACTTAGAAGGGAAGTTAACTAAAAAGGGGTCACTGTCAGAATTCGGTCCTAGGAACTTGTGGCCTCCTGCAGGTAATTCATTCCTTATGTTTGGAATGAGAGCACACTGGAAAATAGGGAGAAAACCACAGATATTCACAAGTGTGAATATTCATAATACATGTATTTTGTGACGAGAGTTCAAGTCTTTCTACCTACTTTGTTGACAATGTTTACCAACATTTCTCCCTGTAAAGCCACTAAAATCCAAGGAATTCTTTTTCTTTTTTCTTTTTATTTTATTGATTATGCTATTACAGTTGTCCCATTTTCTCCCCGTCATTCGCCTCTACCCTGCACATGCCCTTCCACCCACATTTCCCCCTTTAGTTCAAGTCAATAGGTCATACATATAAATTCTTTGGCTTCAACATTTCCCATACTATTCTTACTCTCCCCCTGTCTATCTTCTTCCTATCATCTATGCTACTTATTCTCTGTACCATTTCCCCCTCTCTCCCCTTCCTACTCGCCTACTGATAACCCTCCATGTGATCTCCATTTCTGTGATTCTGTTCCTGTTCTAGTTGTTTGCTTAGTTTTTGTTTGTTTGTTTGTTCGCTTTAAGGTTCAGTTGTTAATAACTGTGAGTTTGTAGTTATTTTACTGTTCATATTTTTATCTTTTTTTCTTAGATAAGTCCCTTTAACATTTCATATAATAAGAGCTGGGTGATGATGAACTCCTTTAATTTGACTTTATCTGGGAAGCACTTTATCTGCCCTTCCATTCTAAATGATAGCTTTGCTGGATAGAGTAATCTTGGACATAGGTCTTTGTCTTTCATGACTTGGAATACTTCTTTCCAGCCCCTTCTTGCCTGTAAGTTCTCTTTTGAGAAATCAGGTGACAGTCTGATGGGAACTCCTTTGTATGTAATTGTCTACTTTCCTCTTGCTGCTTCAGGATTCTCTCCTTATCCTAAATCTTAGCTAATGTAATTATGATGTGCCTTGGTATGTGCTTCCTTGGGTCCAATTTTTTTAAGATTCTCTGAGCTTCCTGGACTTCCTGGAAGTCTATTTTCTTTGCCAGATTGGGGAAGTTTTCCTTCATTATTTTTTCAAGTAAGTTTTCCATTTTTTGCTCTTCCTCTTCTTCTGGCACCCCTATGATTCAGATGTTGGAATGTTTAAAGATGTCCTGGAGGTTCTTAAGCCTCTCCTCATTTTTTTGAATTTTTATTTCTTAATTCTGTTCTGGTTGAATGTTTCTTTCTTCTTTCTAGTTCAAACCATTGATTTAAGTCCCTGTTTCCTTCCCATCACTGTTGGTTCCCTGTATATTTTGCTTTATTTCACTTTGGGTAGCCTTCATTTGTTCATTCTGCTACCATACTCAACCAATTCTGTGAGAATCCTGATTACCAGTGTTTTGAACTCTGCATGTGGTAGATTGGTTATTTCTTTGTCATTTAGTTGTATTTTTTCTGGAGTTTTGATCTGTCCTTTCATTTGGATCATTTTTTTTTTCTCTTGGTGCATCTGTTACGTAGTAAGGGTGGAGCCTTAGGTGTTCACCTGGTGGCAACCCACTTCACTGCATTGTGGTGCTCTACGTGGGGCAGGGGTCCAAGCGGGAACAATGGCACTTGCTCTGCTCTCTGCTGGTTTTCAGTCACTTCCCCCGCTACCCACAAGCAAATCAGGTCCTTCTGGTGCTGATTCCCAGATGGGTGGGTTTGTGTACATTCTAGGACCCTGTGGATGTCTCCAATGAACTCTCCTGTGAGGCTGGGATTTTCTCCTACTGCTGCCTCAATCCCTACAGGTGTGTTCAGTCAGAGGCTTAGAGCCTTTATTTCCCGGAATTGAAACCCTGGGTTGTACAGTCTGCCTGGCTCCCCCGTCGTTCCTCCAGTTTCATCTGCACGTAAATGTGGAACTGCCCAGTCTGTGAGCGGCAGCCTCCTCTCCAGTCCTCTCCACTCGGCTGCCTGTCTCCGCCCCTCCTCCTGGTCTGGATGAATGTCTCTTCTTTAATTCCTTGGTTGTCACACTTCCATACAGTTTGGTTTTCTGTCAGTTCTGGTTGTTTTTTGTTTTTAAATTTTGTTGTTGTCCTTCTTTTGGTTGTGTGAGGAGGCACAGTGTATCTACCTACACCTCTGTCTTGGTAGGAAGTTCCCAGAATTTTTAAACAACATGCTATTCCCTCCCAAAATAAAGAGAATTCATTGACTCATTCACTCCTTCCTTCCTTCCTTCCTTCCTTCCTTCCTTCCTTCCTTCCTTCCTTCCTTCCTT